AGACACTATGCAGTGTGGGAAAGTGTGCACCAGTGGGTAGGGGGGGCTGGGCAGGGGCATGCCTAGCACCTCACTGAGAACAAAGCGGAGGAAAAGTGGACAGAAAGCTCCGACGGCGGCGCGTCACTTAGTCTATCCTCAGTCAGGTGAGAGGTGGTGAAACTTCCTCCTAGTTTCTCTCACCTTCACACCTCAGCGAATCTTCCGTCAGGTGGGCGTCTTGCACAGACGCCACAACCTAGATATGTCCAGATAAGAACTGCTGTCCGCCGTTTCTGCCTTAACCAATTAAATATCCACCAGGGTAGCAGAGTCCGGCTTCTGCATTCGATTTAAAAACACGGTCAGGCCCGTCAGACCTAGTTTTAACGTCTCGGGTGTACGAGTCGCCCCTTAGTCATGGGCGGGTACGATGAATGCAGGTAGTTCTGTCCTCGCCCAATGTCAGATTATTATTGGAATTAGCAAGAAAGTTTTACTCAAAAGTCCAGAAAAGTGAGACTTTTTAGGATGAGAGCTTGAGAACTTTAAGGAAAGTCAGAGGAAGAAAAACAGGATTAGAGACGCTGAATGCCATCGATTGATTAAAATCAAAAAAGGATAGGAGAGGTTGGTATTGCTGAAACCCACCCTTTACTTTGAAATTACACCTAATTTGTCTGACTAATATAGGCCGCAGATATTAATTATTTTAGTGATGGATTAATCTCGACCAGTTTTTCCCAATCAATTTATTATTTCTGAGTATAAACCAGGCTTCAAGATGTCTGGAAGGTTTTCCATCTTATGACCATCAGACTGTTCTCCAAGTTCTCACAGGTCCTTCCTTGTGTGTGTGTGTGTGTGTGTCGATAGCCAAACGTAGCTACATTTCACTGATTCAATCCAACCTCGGCGGATCGGAAATGGATCAGGACGTGTGTGTACAATAGGGTTGTGAAAATGTATTGATACACAAAAGTTGTATCCGGATACAATACTCATTTTCAAAAGTATCGATACAGCCATCTAAAATGCAGAATAGTGGAAAATGCACTTTCTGAACACTGTGATTGAATAATTCTGTGCATTTTTCAGTTTCAGACTGAAAAACATCTGCAAAACATAGCCAAGGAAGGATCAATTTTAATTTTGTAAGTTTTTTTATCAAGCTTGCTTAATATTGTGCACAGCATACAACCTCAAAATATTATTCTTATTGTTTTTTTTATTTATTTCTTGTATTTTTTTTGTAATGAAAATATTTCTGTTGAATTTTAGAGTCTTTGTTTTTATTCTTGTGGTATCGAAAAGGGTATCGAGTATCGAATACTTTACTTAGTATCGGTATCGAGTTGAAAAGTTTAGTATCGTGACAACACTAGAGTACAAGTACCAAGCATTTGATCGGATTAGGCCATTTAAGCATGCATGGACCGTCTGATTTCGCAGACAAACATCACGCTGGCGTTGCACACATGCGCAGTGGAGAATTTTTTTACTTCAAACATCTGAATTGGTTTGTATGTCGACGCCAATTAGAACAGCCCTCTCTTTCAGAATGAAATGACTTTCCAATCGGACCGAATCAGAATAAAACCTCCAGTCTGACAGGTTTACATTAAATATTTTCTGATCCAATAAGGCCTTCAATCTCATTATTTTTGTCAATATAAAATTAGATAGAAAACTTTGAATCAATCTAAACAGATGATCTGGTTGAATTCTAAAGGATTAACTAATCAACTGATGAGTATTTCAATCAATCAATCACCATTAATCCTTTTAGGCTTTATTATTAATCAAGATCAAATGTGTTTTTGGGCAAAAACCCCAGATTCTTGTAGAAATTGTTGAAGCGTGGAAATAAAGCGCTGCCTGTTAAGCTTTGACTGTCTGGATAAAAACAAAAACAGAAGCTAATGCCTAAAAGCAGAGAAGCTGCCTTCCAACATCAGACAGGCCATAAATCCACAAAATCCAACTAAAGTGTTTCCACAGCAACCTGCCACCACAATTGGCTGTTTAATTACTGAAAGAAGGGATTAGAGTTAAAAAGGAAGAGGAAGAAATGGAGACAATGAAAAGCAGGTGGGAGGAAACGAGACAAAGACTTTTGATTCAAATAGGATTCATTTGCAAAAAGGGAGAACGGGGATGTCTCCTCCCCCAGTCAGGTAGGAACCGGTTTGACCCAGCCTGTGGCCGTTACACCAGTAAAAGTCTTCCGACATCAATCAGTTCAATCCTCGGTTTCTTCCAGAACAAGTCGTGTATCGGCATCGGAGACCATGCAGCCTGACTGAGGTCAGGGAAGAACAAATTGGTCTCATTCAAGGAGAACGAAAGGAAAAAGATCATTTTCCTTTTTTAAATGAGAGCCCAGTCAGAGGAATAAAGACGGCTTAACAGGACAGAGGTGGAGAGGATTCCAAAAACTTTAAAAACCAATCCACTGGACTTTGTTTCCAAGTTCGAGGATGTTTCTCTTCCCATCCAGGAAGCTTTTTCAATTCAAAATGTCAGAAATAGGGTTGAGTTCTAGGTTTTATCCAGCAGCCCAACAAAGCCTCGTTTTTGTTTAGAAAACTTGCAAACTGAAACGGATCCACCCCTTTGCAATAGCCTTTTGTTAGCCTGCAATGCCCCATACCTGTCTATGTCTCTGAAAGGGGGGGGTCGTTAAAGCAAATTGTTGGCCTGACAGAATAGGCAATAGGGATGGGCGATATGGACTAAAAAATGTATCATGATAATTTCTCTTATTTATCATTGAAACGATAAGCGACGATAAAAACTACCAGCAAAATATTATGTATTATAAATCTGTCACTAAATTCTGTCTTGAAAGTAGAGCTGGGCGATATGGCGATATATATCGTGAGGACGAGAGAAGCATGTCTATCGTGACCTTTCTCCTCTATTTTTTCTATTGTGATAAACTTTTTTTTTATAATTATTACTGCTAATATACATTTTAATATAATTTGTTAATATAACATTTTGCGTTTTTGCTATGCAAACTCTAAGTGTATATAACGAAAAAAAAGAGAATAAAAAGATAATGTGTAGAGAACGTGGTTTTGCGACACTACACCGCTTTACGTCACGCGGCTTTGCACCATACGTTTGCAACATTACTAACGGAGAGAGCCCGCGAAATTTCTTTCTGGCTTGAAAAAAAATGAATGATGGACACCCAAGAAGATGTTACCACAGCAGCGGTTACAGAGTCCGAAACGGTTGCCAGGTCACAGACACAACAAACACCACTTTTGCCCAAAAGGGGAGGCAGCTCGGTTGTTTGGTTATATTTCGGATTTCAGCCATCTGATAAAGAACAAACGCAGCCGATATGTAAACTGTGCAGCAAAGCCGTTCCAGCGGCTGATGCAAATACTTCCGGCCTCTTTTACCACCTGAAGAAAAATCATGAACAAGAACACGGGAAACTACAACCACTCCGATCAAAACAAACAAGGGATGAAAATACAGGAAGCACTGGAAAGAAATTCTCACAGCCGAAGCTTAAGGAAGCATTCGCCCAAGGATCACAATATGAGAAGACGTCTCAGCGACTCAAGCAGATCACAGGTGCTATTTCACGCTATATCTGTAAAGGCATGGCCCCCGTTTACATAGTCGAGAAAGAGAGCTTTCGGGACCATATAATTACCAGTGCAGACACATTTCTTCTTAAATAGGCGAGGCGCCTCCTAGTGGAAAACAAGGTAAATGAAAGACAAGAGAAAAACCTTGCCTTGGAATTTTATAAAATGTCAATAACAAACGAATATTAAATGATTAATTACTGCAGCGCAATAGCCAAGATTCTATACTGTTCACCGTCATGGCCGCAAATTGCATAACTGGTGTTCTTGGTTTGGGGTTGGGATTCTCATATTAGGAAACAAGATGATGGGTAAAAAATAGGCGATGAAAGATTTTTTTCAACCCTGTCCATCTGACGGACTATGAAAACATAAAATGCAACATCAGTTGTGGTATATCGTGATATATATCGTTATCGTGATATAAAATAATCCATATCGTGATATAGTTTTTTTTCCATATCGCCCAGCCCTACTCAAAGCCCTACAAAATACTAGAAACCACTAAACTATATCAATTAAGTTCAAGTACTAAACCTGTACTGCAAAACTGTAGTGATACCAATCAAATAAGTCTGAAATATGAGAGACCAAATTCCAAATTTATTCAAACGATGCAAACAGCAAAACTAACTTGGCTTATTAAAAAAACCAAAGCGGTGCAACTGCAAACACAACCAGATAAATAGTCATCTCATGATAAAAACGATGAATTCAAATTGTTTTTGTGGGGAATTTCTTTGACGATATATCGCACACGATAAAATATCGCCCATCCATAATAGGCAAGGTCTTCTGTCCCCCTGTAAAGGGGTGGGGGTTGCGATGATAGCAGGAAGGGATCAACTCAATTGCAATACCATCCTGCTATTGTGGTGGGATAGAGATTGGTGCTTTCAATTTATCGCTAAATGTTCAAACAACTTAGGAAAAATTAGCAAGATTTGTGACTAGTTGCTTTCTTTTTTAAAGAGACATCATATATCATGAGCCGTGAACTTTTAAATGCTGCGGTTTCGTCGTACAGTGTGAGCTGTAGCTGCGTGCAACGTAAAAATAAATAAAATAATCGTACAGAACAAAAAACTGTGGCTGGTGTACGAAAGGCGGGACTAAAGTGAGTCATCCAGTTTAATGCAGAAGGAGTTTATGCCTATATGTAGAAGACAGGAACCAGTAAATAACGGAACATCGAGAGGATCAGATACCAACGTCTATGTCAGGTACCGGAAATCATTGACCTTTTAGGTCATCGAACAAAGAAAATATGGAAACTGAAATAAGCAGGTTATCGTCAGCATAAAATCAATGGATCATGAGTGTTTCCCCACATTGAAATATAAAAATGTTCATCAACAAAAAACAAATTAAAACAAAAACCACACAGCATCGATCATCAGATGTACTTACGGTCTAGTCCGTTGACGTAGCGGATCGACACCTCACAGTGCCCCCAGACTGCACTGACAATGGGAAACAGCCTCTTTCCCTTTAGCCCCCTGAAGGCCACTCCCAGATACTGTCCATCCACCATAAAGCTCAGCGTCCCTTCGTCCATGTCCAATATCACCGTCAGGCAGTCTGGGAGCACGAAGGACTCGTCCGGCTCCAGGAAGGTAGGGTATGTAGGCGCTGACGAGTTTGCAGGTCTGTTCTTTCCATCGTGATAAAGTCTATTCCGGCCCAGGTCCCAGCCCCAGGACTCCGAGTCCGAGCCCACCAGGGCCGTGTAGCCAACCGAATGCAAAGGCGCCTCAGCCGTAGCCACTCCTACTACAGCGTGAGTGCCTCTTTGTCTTGTTGGCCAGTGAATCGTCCAAACATGGAGGCCCCTGGTGTAGCCTACCTTCCCTCGAATGCAGTCCGTGCTCTGGGCCACAGGGTGCCTGTGAAACGTCAGCTTGTCGTCCTCCTTGACAAAGACGTTAAGCGATCGGTCATCGGGGTTCCAGGCGTGGCGAATTTGTGTCTCGGGGGTGGCCGGCGGCATGTCAAGAAGTAAATCTAGTCTTGGTGGCCGACAGAAATCCGGACCCCGTAGTTCACGACGCACTGGGCGATATGAGGGCTCCCCACGTACATCCACTGACTTGATACTGCCAGAGATCTTCTGGCCCATGGCTTGGGCGATCCCAGGGAGGAGAGGGAAGAGGGGAGGGAAGAAGGATGGACAAAGGGTGGCGATGAGGGGCCAGTAGGTCCGGACGTTACCTCATGGGCGCACAGGGATGCTGCGAGACCAGTGCAGAAAGATGCTGCTAGGCACTCCAGCTCTACAGCCCGAGGGGAACACAATCCTGAAACACAAGAACACATAATCCCCATTTGTGTTTGATGTTACACATCTACATGGACTAGGTACTGGCATCAGGGTATCCAAAAACCTTAAAGTCGTAGGGTAGCAGCTGTTCAAACCGTTGCACTTTCGAATTCTCTCGAGTGGTGCCCGACTTTACACGAGTGAATAAAGTGAATGTGATTGGTCGTTTATCAAGGGGGCGGGATTGTTTTAGCGGAAGGTTTGCAAGCACTTTGGTTGTGGCCGGTTTGTAAGAAGCATCTTCCTTAGCAACTTAGTGCTAGTAGGTTCCCAATGGGAAATTCCATTGGGACCAAGTAGCACTAAATTGGTGACTTAGAAATGACGCTGTCAAGGAATGGGATGATATGGTCTGATAAAGAGTACATTTATATACATGTTTAAGCCAGAATGATTTGACATTCAAATATGACTTCCCTACGATTTTAACGATTACTTTCTTATTTGGGTCCTTGAGTTGTTGGGTTCAACCTTTCCTCTTCTAGATGTTTGCTCAATGCTAATTAGGGAACACTTTCTAGTCAACTAGACAAAAACCATTTTATTAGGGCTGCAACTAACGATTATTTTAAAAATCGATGAATCGGCCGATTATTTTTTCGATTAATCGATGAATCGGACAAAAAAAAAATTTTTATATTAACCTCTTTATTCCAAAATAAACATTTTAGACAGAACAAACAAGCACACAAGTACAGGTTGCTCATTAACTGTACTGGTGCAATATGAAAAATAAATGTTTGTGTAAAAACTACGCAAACTTACATGAGAAATGTAGCTGTACATCCACAAAATATAGGCTACTTTGGTTCATAAAGCGCAAAAAGAGACAGGCATTTTTGTTTTTTAAAGCCCCTAAGGGGTTCAACAATAGGTCCCCCCATTTCAAGAAATGAGTTTTTTTTAGACTAGAAGAGTTCTGCCTTTTAAGACAGGAAAGTATAGCAGTTAAAGTTGCTGCTTGAGAAAATACTGAACCATAGAGATAAAAATAGCCCTGTGATTCAAATTATAAATTGTATTTGGAATAAAAATGAGAGAACTAGGGGTGGTAAAAAAACACATCCTCCAAAGACAGATATTTACATGGGAATGTGGCAGATAATTAATTGACATATTACTGATCTTGCTGGATTTTGTTCTGCTTTACTTCCATAAATTGCAGGATCTTCTTTTCTTTATCTTTGCCAGAAGATTTAAACTTTAAAAGCCTTGCCCTCATAATTTGCAAGTTAATTTATTTATAAAGAAAATATAAACGCTGCTTAAACAAATGTAAATGAAATTAAAAGTAAAATAAGTAGCCAACCTTATCCCTGTCTGTAACCTACTAACAAGGTAAGGAAAGCATCAGATGAGCTACCTGAGAAACTAACGTTACGTTTCCCCACTTTAAAACCAAACAAACATGGTTACTCATCCTGCTGATCAGCTCTCTTCACTGCCATCGAAGGCTCCAAAGTGTTTTCTTTTCAGGTGCTGCGTCATAACAGTGGTGCTTCCGTGCCATGTTAATTTCTTTTGAAAAAAGTTGCATGTTATCACTTTTTTCACTTTACAAAGCGCAGGCTATTTTAATTATTGTGATCAATTTGCGCCGTCAATCCCGGCGCATGCGCGCTTCATTTGCAGTCTGGACGCTGAGGGTAAACTCCTCACTAAAATCCTGCGGCTCTGACTGCCGCGCTGAGAGGGATTCCTGTGGGAGAGGGAGAAAGGCGTTGGGATGGGGGAGGCGCCCCACGGCAGGCAAAAGCCGCCAGTGACACCGTAAAAAGTCGGCAGATTTGTCGCTAGTCGCTTTTTTGAAAAATAGTCGCTGGAGGGGTCTGAAAAGTCGCTGAGTTGGCAACACTGCAACTGCGGCGCTGACTCGCTCCGCCATATTTTTTTTTCTTCCCCCGGATGACGGCGGCGGCGGATGACGCATTAATCGCGCGACACAACTAATCGATGATTAAATTCGTTGCCAACGCTTTTAAAAGTCGATTTTTATCGATTTTATCGATTCGTTGTTGCAGCCCTACATTTTATGCATTTTTGCGAGATACCAACTATTACCAAAAATACTGTAGTAAATAAAATACTGCAATTAAAATGTATTTCTTGGCACATAAAAACAGGTAGAGAACAAAAAGATAATAAAAATAAAATAAAAATGAAGAGGAACCAAACAGAGGAAGAGAGGAGAGTTGGCTGGAGAAGCTGGTGTCGTTTTGGCCGCTGCTAGGAGATGCTAACCCAGATGGAGAGCTATGTTACAAAGAGCTCTAGTTTCTAACTGAAATTGTTAGCGGTTAGCAACGGATATAAACATTTTCCGATATTAGAACAATGAGTTACGACAGAAAGATGCTAGTGTTAGCTTTCCTATGTTTACTCTGTAGGTTACAGTCCAGTCAATCCCAACCACATCATCTACCCAGCATGCATTGCACAGGTGAAAAAATAGCTACCTCCATGGGTGGAAAATACAAAGGATACACTAATTTTGAAGTAAATATGAGGGGTTTTTTTTTTCATATCAAAAACTGTTTAAGTTAATATCAAAATTATAAGATATTCAGGATGACATGGTCAAATACTCACAGATTCCTTTAAGTTTCTGATATTCTGACTTATGGTGATTTTAGCTAAATCGTTGCATTTTAACCCCTTAAACAGATTTCTCAGGGTTGTTATGTAGCGGGAATTCATATTTTAAATTTTAACATTTATGGAGTGAATTTTGTACCACTATCGTTGATTTTCTATTATTTATTTGAACAACCAACTTTTAACGTATCTCACATTTTTCAAATTTCACTTTAAAATGTTTTAATGAACAGCATTATAAGAGAATATGATTTAAAACTCAACTCAAAGGACCGCATTTCATAATGCAGAGAAATTAAATCCAACATCTATATATAAAAGTTAAAAAACGAATTATAAATTCAGAGAAATCTGCAAAGTTACTTTCAAAGGCTTTTTTGAATAAGTCTTTATTTTCTCCGTTATTTCTTTTTTCTTTGAATTTCCTTTCACGAAACATGTTCTTTACAGCAGTAATGGAATAAAATTATCTCCATAAGCAATCACGATTGTTTACCCAGTTAAGGTGAAGGTTATAATTTTGTTTTTTGAAGTGTTTGTATAAATACAACACATTTGTACTTCTAACGCAGTCCTCTACACATCAGCTGGTAAAATATTCCCAGTTCATATAATCCCCAGATACTGTTCTCCAACTATATTACATTATTTGAAAGACCAGTGTGTTTAAATCAGCTCCAGTTAGAAAAACTATCAACTCTGAAGCAGTTTATATTAAAAAGAAAGCTCAACTCTAAGGATCGGCTAAAAGCCGCAGACTAATTTTAATCGTATAAACAGGGGAGCGGCATTTAACGTGTTAAAAGCTGCAGCACCAACAGAACTCCTTTGTCCGCTGCGTGTTCAAACACTCAGATGTTACACAATCCTGCGGTTTTAGAGGAAACTCCACATGGTTCTTCCAGGGAAAGTACAGCAGCCGGAATGAACCCATTCATCTTAAATCCTTCCAAGTTCAGGTTTGTTAATGAACGCTTCAGAGTAGACAAAAACAAAAAACAAACAGTAAATGGGAAGAGGTTTCTACTAAAGATGGGAGCCAGCGGCTAAATGTGGTTCAATGCAGCCGTTATGCTATCGCGTTGCATGACCCCCAACTTATCAGTCACTTTTATGCTCTCAGTTTAAACCAAAAAAGTTAATTATTCTGATCCCATGATTCTCCCAAAAAAAAAAAAAAAAAAAAAAAAAAAAAAAAAAAAAAAAAAAAAAAAAAAAAAAAAAAAACACAAAGTAGGATAATTTCTATTGGTCTGCTGGTCGGTAGGGACATTTTTATTGGTTATTAAAGTGAAAATAAAGACCTCTTTAAAACCCGAAATGTAAATGAATGCAACTCTTTAAAACTCAATCTGAAAAGGAGAAATATAAAAAATATAAACATAAATAAATCTAATAAACTTACTCTCAAAACATGTTTCGGTAATTTATTCCAGATTATTTTTTATTCCAATATTAGACTGATGAGTTAGAGCAGAAAGATGCTAATGTTAGCCTTCCTATGTTTAATCAGTAGGCTAGAGTCCAGTCAGACCCAACCACGTCATCTACCCAGCATGCATTGCACAGGTGAAAAAAATGGCAACCTCCATGGGTGGAAAATACAAAGGACACACTAATTTTGAAGAATTATGAGTTTTTTACGTATCAAAAACTTTTTTTTTTAAAGGTAATAGGAAAATAACATATTCAGCATGTTCAAATACTCATGGATTCCTTATGGTGATTTTAGTTAAATCATTGTATTTTAACCCTTATACAGATGTTATTTCCCAGGGTTGTCATGTAAAAACACTAAATTATTCTGATCTCATGGTTCTAAAAACACAGAGTAGGGGGGTGATCATTTCTATTGGTCTGCTGGATGGTGGCAACATTTTTATTGGTTATTAAAGTGAAAATAAAGACCTCTTTAAAACCAGAAATGTAAATGAATGTAAGCGTTTCAAACTCGATTTGAAAAGGAGAAATATAAAAAAACTGAAACTTATAAAAACAAATAAATCTAACAATAAAGTTACTCTCAACTAAAAAAATCTAGAATGAATGACCTAAAAAATTTTTTAATTTACAAAAACATGTTCATTGTTTAACAGAACGAAATTCCCTCCATAAAAATAACCAGCCCAAAGAATGACCCTAGCGGCAGCGTTCTTCATCCCGCACTGCCCCCTGTCCACCTGACCCCCCCCGCCCAATGTACAATATGTATGTGATGAACGGTTTGTACCGAAACTGAAATCTTGATTACAATGCAAATCGTTTGACAATAAAGATTGATTAATCAATTGATAACTAAGATTTTTTGTAAACTATTCTTATAGATCAGTGTTAAAATAGATCAATAAATCATTCCAATTAATTAAAGGAAACAATCAACTG